GTTGGAAATAAGAATTGATATATCAATTAGCCAGTTGGAGAGGAGATTTTTTTTAAGTCGAAGAATTGCCTTCCTTCTTTTTACATTCTCCTGTAGAATAAGAATCTCTCTTTGGGTAGATAATTATTCGCTGGTTTCATATTTAGTTGACATCATTTGTTTTTAATTGAAGAAAATTTTCGTAGTAAAAATTTATACACCTCGAAAACATATTGCCGACAGGTGTTAAACATATACCAAAACGAGTGTCTTGTAATTTTTAGAACTCGGCATTCGAGGCATATTATCTCCGTCATAGCAGTCTTCCTGTGTTATGTACATACAGAATTATGCAATTTTGAAAGCCTAATGAGTAAGTTTTTTCAAAGATAATAAAAACAGCGAGAAAGTTGTTGAAATGCAAGCAGAGCAGTTATGTTTGCAATAATGCAAAAGGAATGCTGACTGCGAATGAGCGAGAACATCAAAACTTCTCACTCGACAGGTGGCTAAGACATAGATAATATGGATGTCTAACCATGAACATATTGAAACTAGTTTTATTTAACAACTCTTTATTAGTGCATTTTCATAATTCAATCAAAATTTATGCACAATGAAGCGATGGGGAGATTTTAATCTTCAATAGCGCTTTCCGAGGGTTTTTATTGAATCACCATGGACACGTTTTATCTAAACCAAGTTTATTCGATATGGATAATAAGAACAACAAAACAGAACAAAAACAAAATAAAGATCACAATGCAAAGTTAAGAATTTGTTCGTGCTTGGCGCCTGCATTTCGTAAAATGGATGTACCGCAGCAGGAAGTTTGCAGAGCACGTGGGTAGCATAAGGGTTAAAAGAAGTGAGGCCAAGAGATATTCCAAGACCAAAACTTTTCACAAGGAAGTGCTAAATTTTCTGCTTGGAAGCGAAAACCGAACTAATTTCCCGCAGTTACAACACCTGCGTAATGCATTTAGCACGCTTGAATCATTGTTTTGCTAGAATTTAGGACGAGAATGTGTTTCTGTTGAAAATTGTAAGCTTTCAAGACAAATAATCAATTCAACAAAACTCAAATATTTCCTACTATTTTAAAGAAGAGTAAGAAAGCTTAGATTTCTTGCTACGGCCATAAATCTTCCTGCGTTTAGGGATAACATATTAGAGAGTTTTAGATTCACGTTTGTTTCTTATAACGTGTAACCGCAAACCGCTACAAGTCACGTGACCAGACTCCAGCCGTCATATTTGCCGTTAGCGGTTCACATTTCAACTTCGGGAAAGGAATTTTCAGGTTGGTCGTGCAACCTCAGTACATGAGTATCGTCTGTTGATTCCATTTCAGACATCGATGAGTGTGTTAACAATACCCATAACTGCAGCAAGGGCAGCGCCACTTGTACAAACACTGAGGGATCATTCAACTGCTCTTGTGATCCTGGATTCACTGGAGATGGATACACCTGCCAAGGTAAGATCATAATGATGTCTTATCGTTCAAAAAAAGAATTTCCTCGTTTCTGGTAGCTGCCCTGAACGGGCGCCCTTGCTCCAGTGGAATATTTGCTTACTGAATGATATTGATCAGCGCTAAAGAACCATTCTTTTATACTCTTGTATACATTTCTTCGAATGACTCTATTCAATCTTCGTTTGCTAAAGGAAGTGATCTGAGACTCTTATCTCACAGGTTTGCTCGATTAAAAAGAGCGTGAACCGAGCTGTATTCCTTTGGCTCAAGTGGTTGGCTAAGGTACTATTGAAGTCACATCCCTCACAATTCCCCGTCGTTATATTTATAATGATCTCTACATCAGGCTAGCGGACAAGAATCGTAATCAAGATTTACTTCCACCTTTTAACGTGGTTAAGCTGAGGTTAAAGAACAAAAGAAAACAAATAAACAAACAAACAAACTTATCTGGGCCTGTAACGCCTAAGCCTCTTTCTCCTCCTCTCCACCCCTCCGATTTTCGCAGTAATGAACACTGCTTAGGTAGTAGTGACCAGCTCCTAGTTGGCTTGTTAGCTCAGTTGGTAGAAGTGATGCAAGTTACTTAGAGCACGATATTTTGCCGTGTAACTGAGCGCGTAAACCTGCTAACTTCCTCAAAGGCTGATAAACTTAGCAGTGATCTGATATTGTATCATCAAAGAAAACAAGACGAGTCCTAAGGTTTTCTTTTTTATATACATTTTTATCGTTGTTTTTTATTATCATTATTATTTTTATCATTAGTATTATTATTATAAAAGGGAGGCCTTTCCGAGTCCTATTTTTACTACCAGTCCTTGCACAACGTTTGTCACATGCTGCATTTATACTGGAATTCATCCGCTGCCTTGTTACTTATTCTAATGGTCGGTTGGTTCCATTCCAGACATTGATGAATTTGTTCAAGGTACTCACGACTGCAGCAGGGGCAATGTCACTTGTCTAAATACCGAGGGATCGTTCAGCTGCTCTTGTAAATCCGGATTCACTGGAGATGGACACAACTGCCAAGGTAGAATCTCCACAGCCTAAGCTATTCAAAAAAATAGTTTCCATATTTCTTGTACCTACCAGCTGAGGGAAACCAAGTAACAGTGGAATTTTTGCTTATCGAATGACTGAATCCTGTCGATCAGCTTTAAAAGCATAGTTTTAAACTCTGAAACTCATTTATTGCTTTGATTTTGGTCTCAATTCAATCCCCGTGTAATATTTCCATAAAATTGTCTGATTGAGTGAGCTTGATCCTCACCCACTTAACTGTTTGGGCTAGCAAATTTTTGAAAATAGCTCTTTTATCATAGCGTTTTGATTTTCACGAATATAAATACATTGCCGGTCTGATTTCAGAGATTGACGAATGCGCTGGAAATACCCACCACTGTACCCATGGAAGTTCCATCTGTGAAAATAACAAGGGATCTTTCAAGTGCGTTTGTAAACCTGAATTTCAAGGGGCTGGAAACGACTGCGGAGGTAAAATCTTGTGGAGCACGAGATTATATAATATATAAGCCTCTAAACTTGAGACACCTTTATAAATGGATAAATGAATGGATAACTCTTTCAATTCTTCCTTTCTGGGTCAAATAACAAAACGAACATCTGCAATTTAATTTCCGTTCAACGAATTCATTGAAATTCTCGTGTTAAACTCCTAATTTCATTCTCAAGCAAATCAGACACTAACACTTCTTTGAACATCTCAGTCCAAATTACTCAAAACACTTCTCAAGGGCTTGTAAAATACCCATGTATTCTCAAGAACTGCTCAATGATATAACGTTGTGACGTGCAGACAAACCAACTTCAATGTTTTCCCAAATATTTCAGAAGTCTGCATTCCTTATCGATCTTGCCGAAAGGAAATCCTGTATGCAAAACAAGAAGTAGATAGTTTTCAAAACAATAAATTATTGGTAAAAAAACACTCATGAGAAACGATCTCTCAAACACCAGTACTCTGTTATAAAACACTAGCGAATTGCAAAATACTGTTTATGTTCCGACCACACTGACATCTTTTATTGACTTATCATGGACGACTCTAAACGTTGGGTATACAAAGGTAAAACTGAAATTTTTTTCAATATTTGATTTTGCCATCCCTTATACCTCAGACAATAATCAACACCAGAGTCAAAGTCTTCAAAAATCGTTCAAAACTTCAGGTAAAAGGACGTAAAAATACCATAGGGACAATAATTGCATTGCATCATGCATTTCTTAATGACTGTTTATATACGTCTTCGCATGCGTGAAATTATTGTACAAACCGTTCGACTCAACTCACGCAATCCCTCTGAAAACCATACTGAAAAAAAACTCGCTTTTTCAGGGAATAGAAAGCTTTTTGCTCTGGTAAGAAAAATCTTAGAAACGTTTTAATTTCAGATATTTTTTGTGTGTGTGCTCGTGTAACGTCATGACCTGGAGCCAAATATTTTCCCGTCCAGCCCTCTCATTCAGTTAATAAGTACATATTGTATGCATCTTCGTAATACCTCCGACATAAACGTTGGCGCGAAAGGATTGTGTGGGTCCCATCTGGAAAAGACATTTTTTGGTTGATTTTTGAAACATAAATGAATATTTGAGACAAACTAATAAGTTTCTGAGATACAATGAATATATTAAGTATATATATTTTTTGTCAATAAAGATTTAGAAATGCAAAGACTAGCAAAAACTAACGATAAAAACCGACGTTTCGGTGTCATCATGACGCCATTGTCAAGGAGAAATAAAAAATGAAGTTTGTGGCAAGGTGTAACACTAAATTAGCATAAATATGTTACGAGCTAATTAAACAAATACTTTTGCGCGAATTGAATCGCTTTGCACGTTCAGAGTGGGTTTTAAGTCTCTGATGAAAAGCATTTCGTTCACCAAACAATCGAACTTGTTACTACACTTTTTCAGAATGCTAAAACGTTTCAGTAGGTCTTTCGGGACTTCGCTGTGCCGTTCGTGGTAGTGTTTATATATTGAAGATGCCTTTCGTTTATGTCCATCCACGCGTGTGTGTAAGTGTCCGCGTGTATAGCCCACATAACCCGCATCACACAGGTCACATTGAAATTGATAAACGACGCGTTGTTGGTTGACAATCTGTGGCTTGATTTCTCGTACTTTAAGATCTTGGCCAACTTTGCGGCTAACAAATACTGGCTGGACAGTTGTCTGCACCTTCATGCTAAGATTCTTGAGCTCTTTCTTAACATAATTTGCTGATTCCTGATCTTTGAAAGGTATGACCACACGAACAATGGATATTGGTTCTTTGGGCGTCTGTGTGGGCTGCGTACCAACAATTCTTGATTGTAAGAAGGTGTTAATGGTAGAATTTACCAGGCGTTCCGGGTATTTAAGCCGTGCGAAAACTTTCTTTAGGCGATCACACTCATCAGAGAAATGGGCCCAGGAGGAAGATAATCGGTGTGCGCGATCCAGCATAGTTTTCAGCAAGCTCCGTTTGTAGCGATTGTCTACATGGCTTTGGTAGTGTAATAGTAGGCCCGTGTTTGTTGGTTTCACATATACCTTGGTTTCAATCCGAGGTGCATGGTTGAGTAGTTCGGTGCCAAGGAAAGGAAGCTTGCTGTTCTTCTCCACCTCCATGGTGAATTTGACCGAAGTGTGGGCGCTGTTGAGGGTATGCAAGAAGGTAGTTGCTGTTGCTAGATCAGGCATTACAGTGAGTGTATCATCAACATATCGACGATAATAGGATGGGAGTTTTCTTTGTCGCTCAAGGGTATCTTCGATGGATGACATGAAGACGTTTGCTAATAAGGGCCCGAGAGGGGACCCCATAGCAACGCCATCTGTCTGTTCGTATAGAGCTCCGTTAAATTGAAATAGTTGGCCTTTGGTGGCTACGTTTAGGAGGTCAATAAGATCTGTTCTGGTAAGGGCAAGATTGTGGGTAGTATTGAACCAATTGTTCGAAAAGGCTCTGTTAACCAAGATCTCTATTGTTTCGTCCAAAGGCACGGTTATTCGAAATCAAATGGAACCCTAGCATGAAAAACATATCGCTGTTTTTCTTGATTTTTCTCAAGTATGCCTCCATTTCGTTGGCCGCTTGTGGAACAAGACTTATCGTGGCGAGACAAGTAAGTCGCCACAGACCCGAAAAATCGGTCGAGTGGGACAAAATTGCTGAGGGACTCAGTGAAGCCTTCAGTGATGGTGAAAACTTCGTTTAACTGAAAGGAAGAGGTTGCAAGGAGCGAATGGAGTGCTTGCTTCAAAACGTAGGGCCGAAGATGTAAGATCGTTGAAGAGGTCGGTTGACAGTCTACACAATATTTTCCGAGAGCGCTTCAAGTAAAATTTCTGCTGCAAGTCCATAACGGTGAACTGTCTGGACTTTGCTTGGTTATCTTGTTTCTATTTACCAAAACATTCGAATTCGTTCTAAAACACTGAAAATCTCAAACCTTCTAACTCCTACCGTTCAAACCGCTAACTGAGGTTTGAGGTTCGCAGTTAATACACCAAACGTGAATCTAAAACTCAACTCCAAAGCTATTTTCGTCTATTCACAGAGCTTAAAAATTATTGTTTTTTTATGCAAATATCTACTTTTGATGAGCTTCGAAAGATGTACAGTGTACCTCAATCAGAAAAAGAGAGCTCGGCTAAGCTAGACGGGAACTTACCAACTGAAGTGAACTGCACACGTCGTGTTATTTATACACGGCCATACCTGCGTAAAGATGTCCATCAGAGTGGCTCATTAGAAGTTAGCAGCATTTGCACGCGCGCGTTATCATAGTAACTTTAAAGATAGGTGAGGAAAATGTGATTTGAAATATTGGGCACAAGTTGGGACTTCATAATTGAAATTTCTTGCCTCTTTCATCATTGAACATTAATGGAAGTTATTGAGTTTTCTGGGCACGAATTATCTTCGGGGTTTGGGCCCGTCAAGGTACACTGACTTTGCAATTTTCGTTATCATTTTTATCAACTGTGAAGCTAGTTGTTTCAGGTGTCCCGCAGAAAGTGATTGCAAGGAAAAACAAAGAGAGATATACTTTGTTTGATGTAAGCTGGGGCAACAGGGCTCAAAAGAAAAGAAAGAAAAGACTTATCTGGCTTTTGGAGTTCATACAATCCTTTTCTAGAGATCGTTTCGGCTGGAAAAAGAAGTATATTTTTAATTTGATCTTGGTATCTTAATGAATATGTATAAATAAGTGACTTAGCTTTATGGATTCTGCGCCTAATAAAGTATCTATCTATCTATCTATCTATCTATCTATCAGTATAAGTACTAAGCGCTTGGAAGGCGAGTTTAACAACAACTAAGACCTTTAGAATTCATGACCCATGTCGCTATTGAACTTTCAATAATCTGTATTTTTAGATCAGTGCCGCATATTAGCCTTTCCATCGACTCTGTTCTTCGTGGGAGAGCGTCTTATTAACCACACCATCGAAAACATCAGTGTGATTGACAGAGATACATGTGAATATCGTTGCTACTTGGACTATAACTGCGTCAGAAATACACAACTGTGAACTGAATAACTCAACAGCTAAAGAGTATGAGGAGGATCTGGTAAAAGCAGCGAACTATGTGTATCATGGAACTAAGGTACATGGACGAGCTTTTAATTAAATGTCAATTGCACCTCTCTGTTTAGGTCTTTCGTGAGAGCTGAGGGGTACTTTCATCCATTACTTCTTATTTTTACATAATTTTAACTGCGTGCTAGCGTCGTTACGGATCTTTTGTAAAGAAGCAGTCACCAAAAACAAAAATCCTCTCAGTGCCATGAGGAAACCTAACTCTATTAACAGTAGCAAGTAATTTGTCCTATTCATTTTAGAAACCATGCTCACCAGCCTTGAGTAAACAATTTATCAATCTCTTTTTCTGACAAAGATAATTACAACTTTGCTTCTAAAAAGAAAATTCTTGTGAGTAAAGGTAAGTGTAATGGTCATTTTAAGGCATATCTGCAAAAGACAGTTTTATTCCATCGGTTTCGAGGTTTAAAAACAGTCGAAATAATTAGATCCATCAAATGGCTCAGAAGATGCTCACAACTATGGACATAATGACAGAGTTGAGCTACGACAGGAGTTTCTAAGTGCGGTTCATAGGAGCGTCACTCTACTCTTTAAATCCTGTCCAAAGACGCCCCTTCTCGATTTATTTTTTCGCGCTCAAGTTCTCAGCGAAATGTAGGAGAAGGCTGTGAAGATAGTGGACAACTACTTGTGACATGCTTTTTTTTTTTTCTTTTAAGAATTTTTGCCATCAATCACCATGCCAAAACAACGGTACTTGCCAGTCGGGATTTACAAAGAAACGATATCGATGTTTATGTGCGTCTGGATTTACTGGCCACGATTGTGAAGAGGGTAAGACTTAAAATGATAAAAATCAAATTTGTAACTGATTGAAACAGAGTGGTCCATTTCTTCGGATGGTTTAAGAATCAAAATCGGCTGTTCTTATTTCACGTGTTAAATGTGACTTAGTGGAGGAAAAGGAGGATAGGGGTGCAATTTTAATATCTTTTTCTTTTTCTCATTTCTGGGTATTGTGTCTTGTTTAGAGTGAACAGGAATGAACTAAAGCCAGCTCCATTAGTTAAAAAATTCGTTTTCTTTTTTAAAGATTGTCCTCTCCTTTTCAAGTTGCAGCCTCACGTGCATTCATGTATTATTCTCTAGATATCCCTCAGTGCAGTCGTTTGACATCTATAAGAGCTCAAGCCACCTCCATTAGGACCAACCTATTTCAGGCATTCAGTGGAAAAGTAAAGCAATATGGATTTAAACTCTCCTATTCGCAGAACCGCCACTTTTCACTCGCTAGCTTCCTCACANTTTGTAATCGTTATGGTGGCCAATTTACCATTTCAACTTTGTTGATATATCAAAATTATTTCGTTACTCCCACCGACGCAGCCCCAAACAGTTTCTTTCGAAACTATCAGCCTTTATTCTCTTGAAAAAGTCGTTTCGCCCCTAAACTTCGTTGATGCTTAGTGGCTTTCAGCATTTGAGGCTTCTTTGTTAGTTAGTCTTTGATGATTTAGAAAAAACAATGATGAAGAGATATTCTGCATGCATCGCTTGCTATTTTTCATTTTCTTTACTGAGCTCAAACTTTGTAAATTCACTGAATTAGTATAAATCTCTCTATTTGTATTTGTTTAGGAAACGATTCGGGGCCATTGAAAGATTCCAATGGGCAAACTTTTGCTACTGGAGATCAAGATAGCAATGGCCATACAGGGTATACGTGTGTGAAGAAGTGTGGGATAGGGTGGTGGTACAATAGTACTGCATGCCACTGCCCTCTAGAACATCCGAGGTCAGCTGTAAAAAGTAAAATGATGATCAGACCAACCAGTTTCACTACACCCCGCCACTCGAGTGGGTAGAACTGGGAGCTTGCTCTGATATCCTTTCCGATGCGTGGAGTGGAAGGCCACATCAGTTAGAGCAACCGAGTTTTACGGCGCTGTCTTTTCGAGCAGTCTTCTTGTTCCTTTGAATTCGGCTGTCGACGTTCTTTCAGCAAACACACACCCTGAGCAGTTTGTTTTGTAATTGTCGCGTGAAAAAACTTATGTGCTTTTATAAGCTACAACTCGGCTGGGCTGCACTGAACATTTCGCTTTCAGATTTCGTTATAAGACTAAAAAACTCCTCGCAAAAGTGCTGAATTCAACACTTATGTTTGCTTTGGAATTAAAGTTTCTTCTGCAAATTGAAACAAATGCGTGGGGAATTCAACAGATTATTATGCAATGATCTTTTGAAGTTGAAATTGACGTTTTCTTAAAAATGTTAAAGACGCTGTTTCTCTACATTCATCTTAAATGTCAAAACAACGATAGAAACTTTTAAAGAAAAAAAACTTGCTAGGTACCACACAGAAAAAGTTCATAGAGTATGATCTATTGAAGACTTGGTGTATGAAAAGGACGAAACTGTTTGAAGCCACCATCAAGTAGGCCTACTCTGGGACCTTAAGTTGCCTTAAGTCACCATTGGTTACGCAATGTTATAAGGGTTCCACCCTAATCCCAATTGACCCCACTCACCCCTCTCTAATCATAAGGATCAGAGGAGGAGGCATGGTAGCTGAATGGTTAGTGCACTGGACTCAACATTAGTCCAGTTTTGATGGCTAGTGTTGGAGCATTGCATTTTGTTCTCGAGCAAGATACTATAGGCCCAAAGTGCCTCACCTTTTCCAGGTGTAAATATGGGTACTTGTTGGCAGGGGAGAGGTAACCCTGCAATTGACTATGAGTTTAATTATTGTTATTGTGAGGTGGGCAATGGCTTCCATAGACATAGAAACTCCATTTGAAAATAGTCATGCACTTGTCTAGCCCCTATGCTGGCATAGGTAATTCCTAAAATTAGACAATACTGATGTAGGAATATGACAATGCGTACTCTTCCATTTCCTTACTAAAACAGCTATCTGTTTCAATGAATCAATGAATGAATGAATAACTTTATTTAGACACGTGACAATGATGAGTCTAACAAAAAGAACTGTTACAGAAATGTACGTGCATCTACAAGAGTTATAAGTATTTAAAAGCCATCAATATTTAAAAGAGTCTTTAAAAAAGACTAACAATTATTACAAAAAAATTAAAACCATTTATACCATCAGCTACAATATAATCTAGTCAGGGTAGGAATCACAAGTCAACAAAATTTCTGTTTTGTATTTCGTGATGAATAACTTGATGAAAGTATTATCATCAGGATATAAAAAGTATTGAATCACACAAAACCTACAGTGCCAGATCATCAAGAATATATACTAAGCGTATACCACTGAGTTGCAGATGATTGAGGAGCTATGACGGTATGAAAGTAAAAAAAAAGAAAAAAACTTTTTGTATGATTAAATAAGCGTAATGAGTTGCTAGAAATG